CTATGCTTAGTCACTTGCGAATCTCTGGCCTATGCTTAGTCACTTGCGAATCTCTGGCCTATGCTTAGTCACTTGCGAATCTCTGGCCTATGCTTAGTCACTTGCGAATCTCTGGCCTATGCTTAGTCACTTGCGAATCTCTGGCCTATGCTTAGTCACTTGCGAATCTCTGGCCTATGCTTAGTCACTTGCGAATCTCTGGCCTATGCTTAGTCACTTGCGAATCTCTGGCCTATGCTTAGTCACTTGCGAATCTCTGGCCTATGCTTAGTCACTTGCGAATCTCTGGCCTATGCTTAGTCACTTGCGAATCTCTGGCCTATGCTTAGTCACTTGCGAATCTCTGGCCTATGCTTAGTCACTTGCGAATCTCTGGCCTATGCTTAGTCACTTGCGAATCTCTGGCCTATGCTTAGTCACTTGCGAATCTCTGGCCTATGCTTAGTCACTTGCGAATCTCTGGCCTATGCTTAGTCACTTGCGAATCTCTGGCCTATGCTTAGTCACTTGCGAATCTCTGGCCTATGCTTAGTCACTTGCGAATCTCTGGCCTATGCTTAGTCACTTGCGAATCTCTGGCCTATGCTTAGTCACTTGCGAATCTCTGGCCTATGCTTAGTCACTTGCGAATCTCTGGCCTATGCTTAGTCACTTGCGAATCTCTGGCCTATGCTTAGTCACTTGCGAATCTCTGGCCTATGCTTAGTCACTTGCGAATCTCTGGCCTATGCTTAGTCACTTGCGAATCTCTGGCCTATGCTTAGTCACTTGCGAATCTCTGGCCTATGCTTAGTCACTTGCGAATCTCTGGCCTATGCTTAGTCACTTGCGAATCTCTGGCCTATGCTTAGTCACTTGCGAATCTCTGGCCTATGCTTAGTCACTTGCGAATCTCTGGCCTATGCTTAGTCACTTGCGAATCTCTGGCCTATGCTTAGTCACTTGCGAATCTCTGGCCTATGCTTAGTCACTTGCGAATCTCTGGCCTATGCTTAGTCACTTGCGAATCTCTGGCCTATGCTTAGTCACTTGCGAATCTCTGGCCTATGCTTAGTCACTTGCGAATCTCTGGCCTATGCTTAGTCACTTGCGAATCTCTGGCCTATGCTTAGTCACTTGCGAATCTCTGGCCTATGCTTAGTCACTTGCGAATCTCTGGCCTATGCTTAGTCACTTGCGAATCTCTGGCCTATGCTTAGTCACTTGCGAATCTCTGGCCTATGCTTAGTCACTTGCGAATCTCTGGCCTATGCTTAGTCACTTGCGAATCTCTGGCCTATGCTTAGTCACTTGCGAATCTCTGGCCTATGCTTAGTCACTTGCGAATCTCTGGCCTATGCTTAGTCACTTGCGAATCTCTGGCCTATGCTTAGTCACTTGCGAATCTCTGGCCTATGCTTAGTCACTTGCGAATCTCTGGCCTATGCTTAGTCACTTGCGAATCTCTGGCCTATGCTTAGTCACTTGCGAATCTCTGGCCTATGCTTAGTCACTTGCGAATCTCTGGCCTATGCTTAGTCACTTGCGAATCTCTGGCCTATGCTTAGTCACTTGCGAATCTCTGGCCTATGCTTAGTCACTTGCGAATCTCTGGCCTATGCTTAGTCACTTGCGAATCTCTGGCCTATGCTTAGTCACTTGCGAATCTCTGGCCTATGCTTAGTCACTTGCGAATCTCTGGCCTATGCTTAGTCACTTGCGAATCTCTGGCCTATGCTTAGTCACTTGCGAATCTCTGGCCTATGCTTAGTCACTTGCGAATCTCTGGCCTATGCTTAGTCACTTGCGAATCTCTGGCCTATGCTTAGTCACTTGCGAATCTCTGGCCTATGCTTAGTCACTTGCGAATCTCTGGCCTATGCTTAGTCACTTGCGAATCTCTGGCCTATGCTTAGTCACTTGCGAATCTCTGGCCTATGCTTAGTCACTTGCGAATCTCTGGCCTATGCTTAGTCACTTGCGAATCTCTGGCCTATGCTTAGTCACTTGCGAATCTCTGGCCTATGCTTAGTCACTTGCGAATCTCTGGCCTATGCTTAGTCACTTGCGAATCTCTGGCCTATGCTTAGTCACTTGCGAATCTCTGGCCTATGCTTAGTCACTTGCGAATCTCTGGCCTATGCTTAGTCACTTGCGAATCTCTGGCCTATGCTTAGTCACTTGCGAATCTCTGGCCTATGCTTAGTCACTTGCGAATCTCTGGCCTATGCTTAGTCACTTGCGAATCTCTGGCCTATGCTTAGTCACTTGCGAATCTCTGGCCTATGCTTAGTCACTTGCGAATCTCTGGCCTATGCTTAGTCACTTGCGAATCTCTGGCCTATGCTTAGTCACTTGCGAATCTCTGGCCTATGCTTAGTCACTTGCGAATCTCTGGCCTATGCTTAGTCACTTGCGAATCTCTGGCCTATGCTTAGTCACTTGCGAATCTCTGGCCTATGCTTAGTCACTTGCGAATCTCTGGCCTATGCTTAGTCACTTGCGAATCTCTGGCCTATGCTTAGTCACTTGCGAATCTCTGGCCTATGCTTAGTCACTTGCGAATCTCTGGCCTATGCTTAGTCACTTGCGAATCTCTGGCCTATGCTTAGTCACTTGCGAATCTCTGGCCTATGCTTAGTCACTTGCGAATCTCTGGCCTATGCTTAGTCACTTGCGAATCTCTGGCCTATGCTTAGTCACTTGCGAATCTCTGGCCTATGCTTAGTCACTTGCGAATCTCTGGCCTATGCTTAGTCACTTGCGAATCTCTGGCCTATGCTTAGTCACTTGCGAATCTCTGGCCTATGCTTAGTCACTTGCGAATCTCTGGCCTATGCTTAGTCACTTGCGAATCTCTGGCCTATGCTTAGTCACTTGCGAATCTCTGGCCTATGCTTAGTCACTTGCGAATCTCTGGCCTATGCTTAGTCACTTGCGAATCTCTGGCCTATGCTTAGTCACTTGCGAATCTCTGGCCTATGCTTAGTCACTTGCGAATCTCTGGCCTATGCTTAGTCACTTGCGAATCTCTGGCCTATGCTTAGTCACTTGCGAATCTCTGGCCTATGCTTAGTCACTTGCGAATCTCTGGCCTATGCTTAGTCACTTGCGAATCTCTGGCCTATGCTTAGTCACTTGCGAATCTCTGGCCTATGCTTAGTCACTTGCGAATCTCTGGCCTATGCTTAGTCACTTGCGAATCTCTGGCCTATGCTTAGTCACTTGCGAATCTCTGGCCTATGCTTAGTCACTTGCGAATCTCTGGCCTATGCTTAGTCACTTGCGAATCTCTGGCCTATGCTTAGTCACTTGCGAATCTCTGGCCTATGCTTAGTCACTTGCGAATCTCTGGCCTATGCTTAGTCACTTGCGAATCTCTGGCCTATGCTTAGTCACTTGCGAATCTCTGGCCTATGCTTAGTCACTTGCGAATCTCTGGCCTATGCTTAGTCACTTGCGAATCTCTGGCCTATGCTTAGTCACTTGCGAATCTCTGGCCTATGCTTAGTCACTTGCGAATCTCTGGCCTATGCTTAGTCACTTGCGAATCTCTGGCCTATGCTTAGTCACTTGCGAATCTCTGGCCTATGCTTAGTCACTTGCGAATCTCTGGCCTATGCTTAGTCACTTGCGAATCTCTGGCCTATGCTTAGTCACTTGCGAATCTCTGGCCTATGCTTAGTCACTTGCGAATCTCTGGCCTATGCTTAGTCACTTGCGAATCTCTGGCCTATGCTTAGTCACTTGCGAATCTCTGGCCTATGCTTAGTCACTTGCGAATCTCTGGCCTATGCTTAGTCACTTGCGAATCTCTGGCCTATGCTTAGTCACTTGCGAATCTCTGGCCTATGCTTAGTCACTTGCGAATCTCTGGCCTATGCTTAGTCACTTGCGAATCTCTGGCCTATGCTTAGTCACTTGCGAATCTCTGGCCTATGCTTAGTCACTTGCGAATCTCTGGCCTATGCTTAGTCACTTGCGAATCTCTGGCCTATGCTTAGTCACTTGCGAATCTCTGGCCTATGCTTAGTCACTTGCGAATCTCTGGCCTATGCTTAGTCACTTGCGAATCTCTGGCCTATGCTTAGTCACTTGCGAATCTCTGGCCTATGCTTAGTCACTTGCGAATCTCTGGCCTATGCTTAGTCACTTGCGAATCTCTGGCCTATGCTTAGTCACTTGCGAATCTCTGGCCTATGCTTAGTCACTTGCGAATCTCTGGCCTATGCTTAGTCACTTGCGAATCTCTGGCCTATGCTTAGTCACTTGCGAATCTCTGGCCTATGCTTAGTCACTTGCGAATCTCTGGCCTATGCTTAGTCACTTGCGAATCTCTGGCCTATGCTTAGTCACTTGCGAATCTCTGGCCTATGCTTAGTCACTTGCGAATCTCTGGCCTATGCTTAGTCACTTGCGAATCTCTGGCCTATGCTTAGTCACTTGCGAATCTCTGGCCTATGCTTAGTCACTTGCGAATCTCTGGCCTATGCTTAGTCACTTGCGAATCTCTGGCCTATGCTTAGTCACTTGCGAATCTCTGGCCTATGCTTAGTCACTTGCGAATCTCTGGCCTATGCTTAGTCACTTGCGAATCTCTGGCCTATGCTTAGTCACTTGCGAATCTCTGGCCTATGCTTAGTCACTTGCGAATCTCTGGCCTATGCTTAGTCACTTGCGAATCTCTGGCCTATGCTTAGTCACTTGCGAATCTCTGGCCTATGCTTAGTCACTTGCGAATCTCTGGCCTATGCTTAGTCACTTGCGAATCTCTGGCCTATGCTTAGTCACTTGCGAATCTCTGGCCTATGCTTAGTCACTTGCGAATCTCTGGCCTATGCTTAGTCACTTGCGAATCTCTGGCCTATGCTTAGTCACTTGCGAATCTCTGGCCTATGCTTAGTCACTTGCGAATCTCTGGCCTATGCTTAGTCACTTGCGAATCTCTGGCCTATGCCTACCCACTGTCACTCTCTTCTCCCCCCATCCCTCTGCTTTGCCCTCCCCCGTGGCGAGGTCAGATGGCCACAATACTGCGCGCCTGCCAGGTGCTCCCCGAGCCGCTCTTTGCAGCAGCGGCGCACGCGGGGGACGACGTGTTCCTCTGCCGCACGGCCTACGACTCGCGCTCCCTCACCTTCAAACGCCTGCCCGCGCCCATGCGCGGACCGGGGGGAACGGGGGCCATGGGGGGATTAGGGGGGACGAGGGGGGTGGGGGAGATGAGGGGGATGGCAGGGGGAGGTGGGGCCGGAACGGGCGCGCAGGGGCGTGGAGGCGATGGGGGAGGGAAGAGGAGGAGAGGGGAGAGGGATGAGGGGAATCGAAAGGGAATGCGTGGGAGTGGGGAGGATGGGGAAGGGAGTGGTGAGAGCGATGGTAGTGACTCTGGTGAGAGTGACAGTAGTGAAGGGTTGACTGATTCCAGTGATGATGGTGATAGTGATCTTAGCGTGGATGACGAGGAGGAGGAAGAGGAGGACGAGGAGGAAGAGGATTGGGGAGTGGAGGGAGGGAGGAAGTTGAGAAAGAGAATGAGGAAGAGCAGCAGACATAAGGTGTGTGTCGTCGCGTGGGAGAAGAGGATGTCAAATCGCGTATCCATGTCTCAAGATGTTGGACTCACTTTGAAGAGCTTTGAGATGTGGAAATTCTGAGGGGTCTTAGAAGTGCACACACCAAGGCGCTTTTGAGTCGAATCAAGTGCATCCAACCCTTACACTGCGGTTCTGAGAGATAAAAAAAAAGCCACTCATGTGCCTCCAAGCTACGCACTCAGCTTGTGATCACCACTTTACGGCCACGCGCCAGTCCCTTTGTTTTTCATCTCGTTTCCCTTTGCCTTTTTCTCAGTTCTTTCATCTATTCCTATCACCCAGCTGATTGTGCTCCCAACCAATGCTCATCTGAGCTCCCTGCTACCTTCTTCGATGCATTCCTGCTGCTGCGCTTGCCCCTCAGAGATTCTAGAGGCACCTCAAAACTCTTAGTGATGTGCTTGCCTGAGGGACGTTCGGTTAGGTTTGCTCTTCTCTTTTGTGCTCATCTTGAGCCAACTCTATTTGCGTGGACCTGTTTGTATGGACCTGTTTGCATGGACCTGTTGGCATGGACCTGTTTGCATGGACCTGTTTGCATGGACCTGGGTGGGTGGGGTGAGTGGGTATGCTACGAACCAGAGGAAGCGGCAATGGTTGGGTCAGGAGTATGGCTTTAACACTTCCCAAGGGGACGGGGACCACGGGCTCTTCTCCGTGTTCCATAGTGATCAGAGGCGCACCGGAGGGCATTCTGTGACGCTGGTGGGAGAGAGAGAGGATGAGAGAGATGATACGTGGGACAAGGGGGATGGGGAAAGCGACGGGGAGGGGGATAAGGAGGACGAGGAGGAGGAGGATGGGGAGAGGGAGGAGTCGCATGTGAGGAAGGATGGCGAGCACAAGGGGAGGCAGCTAGGCGGGTTGGCGGCGGTGCGGAGGGCGAAGAGGGCCCTGCAGCTGTCCCGTGTGCCGCCGTGCCTGCCATGCCGTGAGAAGGAGCAGCAGGAGGTGCAGGGGTTTGTGGCGCGAGTTGTTGGGGGCGGATCTGGGGAAGGTGAATCTGAGGAATGTAATCTTGGGGGAGATGGCGGGAAAAGGGCAGGAGGCGGAGTAGTGGGCACAGAGCAAGAGAAGGGGAACGAGGAGGGCATGGGTGTGGGAGGGAAGGGAGGCATGAGAGGGAAGGAGAGGGAGAGAGGGAGAGGGAGAGCGAGTGGAAGGCGGAAGAAACAGGAGGAGGTGAGGGATGAGCAAGAGGCAGAGGGAGAGAAGCCGCGGGACGGCCAGCAGAAGGGGCTACAGGAGGGGTGCGAGGAAGGGGAGCAGCAGGAGGAGAGGCCAGGACAGCAGCAGGTGAATTCACGGTGTTTGTACATCAGTGGGGTGCCGGGCACGGGCAAGACAGCAGTGGTGGTGGAGGTGATGCGGCAGGCGAGGCGGAGCAGCAGCGAGGGGGTGCTGCCGCCCTTCCAGTTCGTCCACATCAACGCCCTGCGCCTGCCCGCCCCCACCGCCTTCTTCTCTGTAAGGCCGCCTGTGATTTGGCGCACATCCCGAAGTTTGCCTTTTTAGAAGTCCCCTTCCCCACCACCCCCTTCCCTGCCACCCCCTTCCCCGCCAACCCCTTCTCTCCCCCCCCTTCCCTGCGCGTGTCTCCTTACCCACTGCCTTCTTCTCTGTATGGTTTCTTACAATCCCCTCCTTACCAACCTCCTCCTCCTCTGTCTCGGCCTTGCTGCCCATGGCCCGCCACCACTGCAGGTTCTCTGGGAGGCTCTGACCGGCCAGAGGGTCGCGTGGAAGAAAGCCCTTCACTCCCTCAACCTCCGCTTCGCCTCCCCCCGCCCCTCCTCTGCCCCTGGCGGGATAAACGGAGGGACGGGGAGGGGTAGAGGAGGTGGGAGAGGAGGTGGGAGAGGAAGCGGGGGTGGGCGGAGGGAGGAGGGGCAGGGGAGAGGAGGCAGAGGAGGGGGGGGAGGGGGGGGGAGGAGGAGGAGGGGGAGGGGGAGGAGTGTGTGTGTTGCTGGTGGATGAGATGGATCAGCTCATCAGCAAGGACCAGAAGGTAGGGAGGATTGTGGAGTGGTTGGGAAAGATTGAGAAGGGTGGACGAGGGTTCGGGGGGGCTGGGAGTTGTTGAAAAGGGTTGTGCTTGTGGGGGCATCATGTTACGAGTGAGGTGTGCGTGGGTGTGCTGTGGTGGTGGTGGATGAGCTGGTTGATCAGCAAGGAGCACAAGGCGGGAAGGCGTTTCACCGTGTGAGGCGTTTCACTGTGTGAGGCGTTTCACCGTGTGAGGCGTTTCACCGTGTAAGGCGTTTCACCGTGTAAGGCGTTTCACTGTGTGAGGCGTTTCACCGTGTGAGGCGTTTCACCGTGTGAGGCGTTTCACCGTGTGAGGCGTTTCACCGTGTGAGGCGTTTCACCGTGTGAGGCGTTTCACCGTGTGAGGCGTTTCACCGTGTGAGGCGTTTCACCGTGTGAGGCGTTTCACCGTGTGAGGCGTTTCACCGTGTGAGGCGTTTCACCGTGTGAGGCGTTTCACCGTGTGAGGCGTTTCACCGTGTGAGGCGTTTCACCGTGTGAGGCGTTTCACCGTGTGAGGCGTTTCACCGTGTGAGGCGTTTCACCGTGTGAGGCGTTTCACCGTGTGAGGCGTTTCACCGTGTGAGGCGTTTCACCGTGTGAGGCGTTTCACCGTGTGAGGCGTTTCACCGTGTGAGGCGTTTCACCGTGTGAGGCGTTTCACCGTGTGAGGCGTTTCACCGTGTGAGGCGTTTCACCGTGTGAGGCGTTTCACCGTGTGAGGCGTTTCACCGTGTGAGGCGTTTCACCGTGTGAGGCGTTTCACCGTGTGAGGCGTTTCACCGTGTGAGGCGTTTCACCGTGTGAGGCGTTTCACCGTGTGAGGCGTTTCACCGTGTGAGGCGTTTCACCGTGTGAGGCGTTTCACCGTGTGAGGCGTTTCACCGTGTGAGGCGTTTCACCGTGTGAGGCGTTTCACCGTGTGAGGCGTTTCACCGTGTGAGGCGTTTCACCGTGTGAGGCGTTTCACCGTGTGAGGGCGTTTCACCGTGTGAGGCGTTTCACCGTGTGAGGCGTTTCACTGTGTGAGGTGCACGTGGATACCAGGATCAACAAGGACCAGACGACAAGAAGAGATTTTGGATTGGAGGGGTCGACGATGGGACTCAAAGTGTTGAGGGAGGCGTTTCTGTGAGGAGGAGTAGGAGAGGAGTGTGTGTGCTGCTGGTGGGGGGGAGATGGATTAGCTGATTACGAGAAAACTTTGAGTTGGAAGGAATTGTGGAGCGGTTGAGAAGGGTTTTATTAGGTTTTGCAGCGTGCCTTTTGAGGTGCCAGCCAGGAGCTGCTGGGTGGAGAGTCCCCACTGGGGAGTGACTGGCCCTGGCCTTGTGCATTTATTTCATTTTGTGTTCGTTCCATTTTTTCCATCCCTTTGCACCTCTATGCGCCCGTGTGCACTCCTGTGTAATCCTGCGCACCCCTGCGCAACCCTGCGCACCCCTGCCCACCCCTGCGCACCCTCCCCAGGTGCTCTACAACATATTCGAGTGGACCACCTGGAGCTCTGCACGCCTTGCCGTTATTGGTAAGCTTTTCCACTTTTGCTCAATTTTGCTGTTACTGGCAAGCGTGCTTCATTTTCTCCTTTTAAAGACTAGCCACAACTGCCATTCGTCGCGCGTGTTGCTGCAGTTAGTCGACCACCTCCGCCCGCCCCACTGGTCTCTGTGTAGCTTCTCGCGCATCGCCAGCCGCACAGTCAACTTGCCTGCGCTCGTGCACCCAAACGTGAAGTTTCACCGTGGGATGGGCCCTTTGCATCGTGTGTCTCGCCCATTCCCTCTTGCTCGCCTTGCCTCCACCCGCTCACCTCTGTTTCCCCCAGGGATCCCCAATGCAGTGGATCACCCCAACGCAGTGGATCACCCCAACGCAGTGGATCACCCCAACGCAGTGGATCACCCCAACGCAGTGGATCACCCCAACGCAGTGGATCACCCCAACGCAGTGGATCACCCCAACGCAGTGGATCACCCCAACGCCTGCTTCCCATTCCTTTCTTCATCGTTCCCTTTCCACCCTCTACACCTCCCCCCCCACACATCTTCCTCCCCCCCACACATCTTCCTCCCCCCCCACACATCTTCCTCCCGTTTCTGAGCCCACTCTCACCATCCAGGCATACCCTACACAGTGGGGCTTCCTAAGCGACTGTTTCCGGTCATAGCCAGCAAGAAGGGGCTGCACCGCTTGCACTCTGCACCTCCACCCCTCCCTCTCCCCCTTCTCTCTCCGCTCTCCCTTGCCTCTCGGGCATCGCCAACACGTTGGATCTACCACAGCGCCTGCTTCCCCTCCTCTCCACCTTGTGCCCTTGCACTCTACATATTCCCCCCTTTTTCTCCCTGGCATAGTCGACAACCCAGTGGACCCGCCTGAGCGCCTGCTGCCACTGACTCTCTCCATGTGCCCTCTCCTCCCGACATACCCCATCCCTCACACTGCTTCACCCTCACCCCTTCCCTTCCCCCCAGGCATCGCCAACACGGTGGACCTACCAGAGCGCCTGCTGGCGCTGGCTCTCTTTCCGTGTGCCCTCTCCACCCGACATCTCCCCCCCTCCCCAACCCACATTTCCCCCCAGGCATCGCCAACACGGTGGACCTGCCGGAGCGCCTGCTGCCGCGCATCGCCAGCCGCATGGGGCTGCAGCGCGTGCCCTTTGCGCCGTACACACGCCACCACATCGAGACGATCGTCGCCGCCCGCCTGCATGCGTGCCAGCTGTTTGCACCGCGGGCCATCGAGCTGGCTGCACGGAAGGTGAGGTGAGGCTCGTGGGTTTCTGGAATAGCAGATAGCGATGACACCTGGATGGCGCAAGGGAGGGAGAGCGCGAGGGAGGAGACAAGCAAGGCACTGAGGCGAGGCTAACGGTGAATCAAGGTGCTTTTTATAGGCCCGCCACACGTTACCCAATGTAACCGATGTCATCTGCACTCCACAAGGGAGGATACCTGCAAGGCAGTCAGGCTAACTGTGAGTGGAGGCAAGGGAAGGGAAGGAGTGAGGAGCGG